ATATATGTGTGTGTGTTTGTGTGTGTGTGTGTACACGCGCAATCAAAATACAAATATACCATAGGTGGCACTGCTGCCGTTGCAGGTAAGACAATATCTTAAAACATCATATAACACCAACAGATCGAGCCATTGTGACAAAATATTAATTCACATGACATAATGTCTATACACATACATGTACGAGGCATACCAAAATTGACTATTTACCACTTCTGTAAGCGCCTTGTCACTTTTAACCTGACACAGCAACCATATAACGCACAGGTTTAATGAAGACACAAAACAAATCACGAAGACTTAGTATAATTATAACCTTAACCATACACACAGACACAAGTATGTGTGTTCCTGATAAACTTTGAATACCCCCAACCGATAGGAGGTTCACAATACGTAAGGTCGAGACAACCTACACCTAAGCTGCCCACAAAGACGCACTTATACAGTACACACATAGAAACGTACACACCTGGTAAGCTTCACTGATTTTCTTGAACATATCCTCGGCTCCAGGCTCCGAATTCTTATCTGGATGATACTTCAAAGCCATGCGGCGGTACCCTTTTTTGATATCTGCCGCCTCTGCCGTAGGCTGCAGATTTAGGAGGTCATATAGAGCTGTTTCTTTGACCATTGTCTATTTGTTGTCCAGGTGTGTTCTGCGATACCTTATCCTTAATATACTAGCAGTCACGCTGTGGCTCCGTGTGCTAGTTGCTCGTGCGCTATGTGTGTTCGTTTGCTGAGGTCGTTCCCTGTATCATATGTATTTATAAATATGTATCTGATCTGATATCATATCATTTGTATGTGAGAGGACGGGATGCGGAATTCGGTGAAGATAAATTTAGAAAAGAAGAGGTTTCAGGCTTTGTGATGGTGGTATGTATTAAATGGTATGACTCACTTTACACCAATCATAATTGAGATGTACCTGCACGTTCTAAAGCAAAACTCGATGCAATGATTCATGTTTTTTTAGTTACATAGATTCTAGTGCTTTCTCGAGTAATGTAGAGTGTATTTAATATATAAGAATAAAAGCTCACTCACACTAATATATTGATAACAATAGCAAGAAATGATATGGATTTACGCCACTTCAGCTAAGTCTGCATTATTCTCCATATAAGTATCTATCTGCTTTACTTAACATCGTATCATATACACTTCTCGTCACTTACATAATATCTTAGTATATTATTTATGGTTTATGCACATATGCTATAAGTACAGACAGGCAAGATGTCCGACAGATGCGAGTTCGATTACAAAGGGTGTGTTGATAAAGCCATATGCCGTGTAGAGCAAGTACTAGATGATATGAGCACTACTACTGAGGACGGTGGGATTGGTAGAGATCCAGAGTTGCTGGCTGGCTCTATTATGTCGCTGATGGAACTTGATGTAAGTGGCTGTTTCGTATACCATAGTTCTAGGAAGACATTACAATTCATAGACCCGTCAAGAATTGTATGTGGGTGCCGTGAACTACATCAATGCATAACGATCTTATAAAAATATAAACTGTAGACGATCTTGGTTCTTTACTGGGCATTGTATACTGGTCCGCTGTCGGAGTCTGTATGTACACGTGTCATGTACATACTCTTCTCTCACTTGTCACGTTTGATGCCGGACTGTATGGGTGACATATATATATATATATATATATATATATATATATATATATATATATATATATATATTTGTGTGTGTGTGTGTGTGTATGTATGTATGTATAAATATTAATATTTTAATAATCGCGCACGGCTATAAATATATATAGATATTGTGGCGGTGCCTCATGGCTCTATTGATGACGTATATGATAACGGACGCCTTCTTGTCAGCTGTAAATAGGAGTTGTGTACATATTAGAAACCTTTTGTCGGCCACACATAAAATTACTACTCACTGTCGTAGAGACAGTTACGGTATATTGCCAGTGAGACAATAGTATGCGCAAACATGTACTAGTTTGGCTATGTCTGTGTAGGGGTTGTTCGTATTCAATACACAAATCAACTGAGTACGTCGTTGGAAGGTTAAGGATATATGAGTGTATCTTTCTGTCCCGTCAATACACAAATCAACTGAGTACGTCGTTGGAAGGTTAAGGATATATGAGTGTATCTTTCTGTCCCGTTAACCTGCACTCATAATGCATGTGTTTGTACACAGGCACAAATAAAGTTTCGTTTTTGAAGTGGGCAATCGCACAAGTACAATTGGCATATGATTAACGGACAGGCAGCTTCATGATGTATAAATAAACGAATGTATGTATGTCTATATGGATTTGTCTGTGATATCTATGTATCCCTCACACGTCTTACTTGTAAATTTGGGCAATTTCCACACATGAATGATTGTTACTTTCCTGTTTTCAACATTCTTCATGTATTTGTTTTTATTTATTCCCAGAGATACGCATGCATGTGGATATATACATATTCGAATTCGTGTATGCATGCGAGTACTACTAATGCCGCATATCTATATATATATATCACGTATGGTACGGGTTAGTAGACCCTGAATTGATTCCACCTGTATGTAGGACTGCGACGGGGAAATGGTACTGACCTCCCGCAAACTATCTGACTCTTGTCTGAATGTGAGTGTGAGAGTGCACAAGTGTTGTTATCGCAGATCGCCTAGCGATCACCATGACTCAGCCGCTGGTCAGAATACGCACACAGACAATAGTACAATAGTTCCCTTGCAGTATATTGTTGCTTGTCAACCGATTGTACCCAGATTACTCTGTCTCTGCTGCAAGCTCAGGTATCGACCTCTCAACAACCTCAACACCAACATCATGGCGTACACAAGTAGCCCCTATATATAATCATCTGTGTATCTCCCCATCTCTCCTGTACAGCATCCTCAGCCCCTTCAGGACCGCTGTGCTTGGATCGAGGCATGCGCCCATATACTCACCCACAACGCCAGTGCTAAACAAATGGTTGCTGAGTGCGCGTTTGAACTCCTGACTCCGCTGGTGGCGTTCGCCTGCGATCTGGTCGAGAGGCTGTCCGATGGATTGCCCAGTGATGCCTCTCCTCAAGAGTCTAAGGTGGGTGGCATGTGGAGTCAGAATGCCAACAGAAGAGGAGTATGGATATCTTGCTGTGAAGTGTATTTAATTCACAGTCGCAAAGTCAGGTACACGTCTTGTGTTCGTGCTAGGCGTAATCTGAGCTCACTGGTAGCTTTCGCGTGCAACTTGATAGTTGTGGACCAGCTTTATTAATGCGCCGTGCTGTAGAAATCTTGGTTTGAGTTGGCCAGTGGGGCCAGACATTGAGGGCATTATGTCTTCGCATATATACTTGATCAAGCAAATCGCCACTCATTAGCGCACATGGGGGTTTCCAAGGCAGTCTTCAGACGTCATGTCTCAAGCATATACCCACCGTATCTCATTTACCTACAACGTACGCGTTACCTAGTTCGGTACTTGCTAGTGGACGTATATGGCCCACTTTTCCCTAGTTTCAGGAACACATTCTGATGCCTTACCGTAACTCTCCGTATCATCTTAGGGCTCCGAAGTTCGGACTCTGAGTCAACAGACACCTGCACATCACACCCTAGATGTCTACAAGCGGCGTGCTACCTTCGCCGTGAATGGGTTGGTGCGTGCGTTAGGCGTGTGTGGCTCCCCTTCGGAAGTGCTGCTGGCTGCTTCAGAACAATTAGAACGGGTGCAATATCTGATCTCTATTGTGATGGAAGACCTGGACGAAATAGACTACCAGAGCGAATTCGAAGCGAGGTATGCGCATACTAATCGTTGGCCGTGAGAGCCTGCCACGTGTTTGAGTAGCATGGAAGGGATATATGTTCCATCACATGCTACGCTGTTAGTCTCGGGTGCGCAGATGCCATGACCTTATCATTTCAGTGCGCATTGTGCCATGATGTGGTTCAGAGGAATCATTGTGATCGTATGCCCGGAGAATGAAATCATGTACGAGTATAGTACTATTTGGCATGTGTCGACAGTTTGTTGTGAGTATTAGTTGTTTGTTTTTTATGTTTACTGGCTTTAGTATGTCTATTCTACCTTCTTTGTCCCCCAATAGTGATGACAGGCTCAATGATGTTGGCTGCGATTTGGTGCGTAAACTTATGAATCTTCTGGTTCTCGAACACCATTTCACGACCTTGCACTTATGCGGCGACTAATAGTACCTGCATTATTGTAAATTTTAGATCGAGATTAACTACATGACGATTAACGCGGCATAGGATTGACTTC